TGGTGCCTTCAGTAGCCTCCCATAGAGCGGTGGGAAGAAAGCTGGGGCAGTGGGCAGAGATAAGCTCAATAGGTACCACCCTCTCTTTATGAGTTGGTGGTCACCATACTGTAAGGACACAATGACCAGGAGAAAGTGCCCCTAAGCCACCACCCTGCCCCAAATCCTAGGACAAAACAGGAGTGAAAATACATACCTTTGTCTTCTCCTTCTCTGACAATGCCTTCAATATGGCCATGCTGACTGGATGCCGCAAATGCTTTTTTTTTTCTAGCTAAAAGACAGGAGGACATAGAAATGGATGAAACCTGCCAGGTCAGACATCCAAGCAAGTTCTTCAGCTTGGGAACATGGAGACCTGAATTCTGACCTTAGGGCACGGGTCACTGTAGTTATCCTTTGGACCAACTCCTTTCGGTCAAAATCAACTTGTCCACCAGTGGCCACCAAGCTGTACAGAAACCTTTCAGTAACAGGAGATCGATCCAAAACTCTAAGGACAGCTCTGGGCCCCGTACCTTGAGTTCCGCTTAACACACCTCTTCGCACCTGAACTCCCCAAGGATCGTGTCTCCTCACCGCCAGCGTCCCCAGCCTCACCGTGAAGGCCAGCATACAGGACACACTGAAGAGGGCCCTGGCATGGTGGCACTTGGCACCCCATGGGACCCTGGTGGTCCTGCAGGTGGTGCGCAGCCCCCTGGCCCTACCGCGGTGACAGGAGCAGCGGCCGAGCGGCCGGCTGAGTCCAGGCGCTGCGCGAGCCGGTCCGTTACTGGTGTGCGAACCGCCAACCGAGCGCGGCCAGTCGCGCGCCCCGCGCTGGGCCGTTGGGAGAGCGGACCGCTCCTGGGAGCGCGCTCACTGCAGGCGCCCGCGCGCCGCAAACCGCTCCTCCCAGGGCAGTTCCGCTAGCCCGGGCCTCGAGCCCAGGGTGCTGGGCGCGCGGCAGGAGGCTGTGCCCGAACGAAGGTCTTCCACCCACGGCTGGGCACCGTCTCGCCGCGGCTTCGCGGCCGCCACGTTCATGGCGCGGTGGAAACCAGTAGTGGATGTGCTCCGCGGCCACCTCCCTCCGCTATTGGCGTGGCCCAGCCACGTGCCCGCTCCCGAAGCCTGTCCTCCTGCCTCCCCGGCCCAGCAGGTGCAGCTCCTTGGGCCTGCAGGTGCGGGAATTAGGTGGAGCGCGCGGGGGGCGGGATGGCATAAATAAGATCCAGCTGCAGCTGTCCAAACAGCCCCCCCGCTGCAGTGTTAGTGTCCACTCCAGGGGCTCTGTGGAAGGCCCTGAAAGGGCGACTGGTCAGCCTGGAGCAGCTGTCCTTCTGGGTCTTGGACGAGAGCTTCCTGGAACTGGTGGACTACATTTGGAGAAGAGCCACCTCGCGGAAAGCCCAGCCACCTTAAAAGATGCCTTCAACCCTCGCCAGCTCAGCTAGTGGTGGGGGGGGCCCCTTGTCCCACATCCGTGGGAATGTGAGCCCGGTCCAGAAAGTTGAGCTGGCAGCTGGCCAGAGTGGATGTCTTCCAGGAGCACGCCTTCTCCCCAGCAAGCCTGATGCAAGCTGGCTTCAGTGTGATCAATGCCTAAGCCAAAGGCTTCCCTGTCTGCCGTCTCTCACATGACAGGTGAAGAATAAAGTCGAATTTGGCTTTGTTTCCTGTTGTGATTACATGATGTCATGAGGAATAACATCTCTCCGGAGCCAATAACCATTGGGGCAGAATTTAGGGAACTTTGGGAAGAATCGGACCCCACACTGCATAGAAGACAAGGGCTCTTTGAGTTGTTTTCATTTGTAACCATGTAGGTCTTTGGGGGGGGAGGGGGGCTCCCAAGGTGTACTCATAAAAATGACAAGAAGAGGCCAGTAGAGACAGACGTTTATAAGAAGCCGAGGTGGGATAATGAAAGGCTTCTACCACTGGAAGGTTCGGAGCAGTGCAGAGCCACCAGCTGCCCCACCAGAATGGCTAGGATTCCTATTATCATCGCTCATCTCAAACTCACAGAGACAGTTCCACCCGTCTGTAGGGTCCCTGTGAGTCAGAATGGACTCTGGCAATGAGTTTGCCTTTGGGAGGTGCCCGGGTGGTGGAGTGGGCTACACATGGGCTGCGAGCAAGAGTCAGCATTTTGAAGCCACCAGGTGCCCCAAGGGAGAAAGACAAGGCTTTCCCGCCAGTAAATATTTACAGTCTTGGGTACCCAGAGGGGCGTTTCTATTCTGTCCCGTAAATTCCTTCTGAGTCAGAATTGACTTCAGGGCAGTAAGTTTGGTTGTCTGACCAGGGGCTGGGAGAAGTGGGACTGCGTTTTCTCTTTCGAGGGCAGAAAGTCCTTGGAAAGAGTGCTGATGGTGACCTGAGAAGGGAACTAATGTCACTGAAATGGTCATTTCAAAATGGTGAAAATGGTTGGTTTGTGTCAATGCTACCTTAAAAGCTTCCAAAAAGGAAAGCAACACCATGCTCCTGGGGTGGGGTGGGGGGGCGACTAGCCTTGGGGAGAGTTTTCTGCACCAACATCCCACTCTTGGCGGGATCTGTCTGGGCAGAAAATGAAAGGCAGTGCACGCAGCAGTGTGGCTCGCTGTGCGTCCCAGGCTCTGCCTCCCGTCCCGTCTCTCGCTGAGGAGGAGGAGGAGGATTAAAGGGTTTGTGAGACCCACGTCCATCAAGGCCATTCTCCTCAGTGACGTGGAGAAGCGGCAGCACGGTCAGCGCTCCAACACCTGCCTGTGACTGCTCCCTAAAGCGGTCAGATTAGCCCAGCACCCACTCATCCGATTCCAGTCTCTGCAGCATTCCCTGAACTGCAGCAGGATCACAGCACCCCAGATGAGGAGTAAATACCTGCAGCCTGTGAAAAAGGGTAAGCAAGGCTGCCCTGAGGAGGAATGAGCCCGGCTCTGGGGGCAACCGGTTTGCCTGGCTGCCAACCTTGACCAGCATGTCTGAGCTTAGTCCTCTTCTTCCCCAGATGAAGACCTCGGGCTCATGGAAGTAAAGGAACTTGCTCAAGATCACAGAAATGCCCTGAGCCCAGCAGTGGGCACCTTCAGTGGGGGTGATACTGACATAACACGGAACTAACCATTTTAAAGTGAACCATTCAGTCACTGACCAGTCAAGAGTGGTGCAACTCCCACCTCTATGGTTCCGCAATGTTTTTATCACCTCTCCCCAAACGCTCGCTCCTCTCCTGTAAGCAGACGGAGGCTCCCCCTCTCCCCTTTGATTCTTGGCAACCACCACCTGTATTCCATCTACGACTCGACCTATTTTGAGTATCTTATTTAAACAGAAACACGACAGAGTAACCTTTGTGGCGTGCTAGTTCGATTTTCCAGGTTCGTCCACTTTGGGGCATGTGTCAGAACATCCTTTTCGTGGCTGAGAAATACTCCATTTTTTTTTTGCCAGAAGGTTCTCTCCAACCTTTTCTCTTTTTTTTCTTTTTTAACATTTTATTAGGGGCTCATACAACTGTTATCCCAATCCATACACACATCAATTGTGTAAAGCGCATTTGTATATCGTTTCTCAAAACATTTTCTCTCCATTTAAACCCCCGACATTAGGTCCTCATTTTTCCCCTCCCTCCCCGCTCCCCCCTCCCTCATGAGCCCTTGATAGTTTATAAATGGGTATTTTGTCATATCTTGCCCTGTCCGACGTCTCCCTTCATCCACTTTTCGGTTGTCTGTCCCCCAGGGAGGAGGTCACACACAGTTCCATGTAATCGGTTCCCTCTTTCCTACCGAAATACTCCATTTTATGGCACAGTTTGTGCCTCTGAGTCAAACTCTGCAGAGGCCACATCTGATCTCTGGCTTCAGGAGGGGGTAGGCTCATTGTCCACTGCAGCCCCAGGCCATCTGCCACAAGCGGAGTTCAGACCTGCCGCCAGCCTGTCCTTTTCCGTCCCAACCATTCCTCTGACGCGCTACCTTTCTGCCGGGTTCTGTAACTCATTGCAGTGGCCACACAGATCTCACAATTTATATTTTTTCATGTCTTCCACTGTCCGATGTCTCCCTTCACCCACTTTTCTGTTGTCAGTCCCCTAGGCAGGGGGGTTTATGTAGATCACTGTGATTGGTTCCCCCTTTCTCCCCCACCTTCCCCATCCCCTCCTGGTATTGCTACTCTCATTAGTCCTGAGGGGTTATCTGTCCTGGATTCCCTGTGTTTCCAGTTCTTAACTGTACCAGTGAACATTCTATCTGTACCAGTGTACATTCTCAGGTCTAATAGGATTCGTAAGGTAGAATTGGGATCATGATAGTGGCGGGCAGGAAGCATTAAAGAACTAGAGGAAAGTTGTATGTCTCATCATTGCTATACTGTACCCTGACTGGCTCCTCTCCTCCCCGAGACCCTTTTGTAAGGCGATGTCCAGTTGGCTACAGATGGGCTTTGGGTCTCTACTCTGCACTCCCCCTCATTCACAATATTTTTTGTTCATTGACACCTGATACCTGCCGGCTCCTCTTAGGCTGGCTTCGGAGTTGGCTGTCCTGCACACAGAATGGCTTTGAAGGAGCTGTGTGTGTCTGGGTTGACTAGAAACAAAACCAGAGACATTCATGTGTTTAAGAGAGACTTTGATTTCCAAGAGTAAGTGTATATTAAGGAAACATCCCGGCCCAGTCCAGATCAAGTCCTTAAGTTCAACATAAGCCCATTAAGTCTGATAGTAGCCCATATGTCCGGTACTAGGTCCATAAATTCTTCTACAAATTCACGCAGCACATGCAATGATGCCGAAAGCAGGAAGATCACAGGCTGGTGGGTGAGAAGTCTTGTGGAAGCATCTCAGCACTGGTGAGGCTCTCCGTGGCTCCTCCGGCTCCAGGGCTCTGGCTGCCATCAACATGGCTCCATGTGGCTTGTCAACAGGATGAAGAGAGAGGGTGTGTGCCCCGCCTCCAGAGAGGAAGACAATAGTTCCCAGAATCCTCCACAGAAGGTTATGCCCACACACAGGCCTCATTGGCTATGACCTGATTGACAGGCTAGACCCTACCCCTTCACTCAAGTTGACAGGAGATTATGTAACTGCCACAAGCTAGCCTGTGTGTCACTCACCATGAAGGATGCTCAGGGTGGTGACTTGGTTCATCCCTCTAGTCAATTTGAGACTCAGAATACACCCCACCTTCCTCCTGCTCATTAGCATAAGAGAACTCCCTCCACAGTGGGATTGTAACCCTGGGCATAGAGGCTGTCATTTAGAATACATCAAAGATGGACTGTGAATGAAAAAGCCATACTAAGAACTTCCACCGCACGGTAGCCTCCATTCCTCCACAGAGACCCTGGGTTCACTGACTCTTGAATAGCACTACCTGAACATTCACATGTTTGACCCCCGGTTGTCAATTTTAGGGATACACCTAGAGGTGGAATTGTAATGTCCTCTCAAGAGCCTGGTTGGTTGGTTGGTTTGCGGAGGCAGCACACCAGGATTATTAAACAATAAAGTCTGGGTCCCCTGCACTACAGAAAGGGCGATAATAGGGGGACCTGTGAAGCAGGAAAGCCCCTCCCCATGCTGTTTTCCACAATAGCGTATGCATTTGACACCAGAATGTCAACCCTCCTCAACGGCCATGCCTGCAGCTCTGGGCTCCTGACACAAGCCTGTCCATCTGCTGCCTGGCATTCATCTCTGACTCTCTAGAACATCTCGAGTGAGACCAATCGCTTGGTCATTCGATGCAACAAGCACTGCCACAAAACTGCCCAAGCTCTGAATCCCTTTGTAACGTATAATCCTGCACCTGACTCCAGATCACAGGAAGTGCTGAGCCCAGGGGGTAGAATGGTGACTCCTTGGGTTGCTGACTGCAGGGTTCGTCGTTTGAAACCACCAGCCTCCCTGAGAGAAAGGCAGGACTTTCCACTGCCATACACAACTACAGCCTCAGAAATCCACAGGGGCAGCTCTACCCGATCCTGTAGGGTCCCTGTGAGTCAGCATGAAACCCACGGCTGTGAGTTTGCTTGCTGTTTGCCTCTGAGCACCTTTCCTGGAACCCCTATTCCTGTACTCTCCCAGGTGGTCCTCAGGCCCTTTCAAGTTGATAATCTATTTGCCCATTGTGTGCTGCCTTCGCTGACATCACACCCAGGTTCTGGTGAGATAGCCGTATCCGACCAGGTCAGAGAGATGCTCCCACAGGCCAGGACAAACCTTCCCCATCATACCACTTCCTACCAGCCCCCACAAGCAGACTGTTCTAATTACACCTGACGACCCCATCGTAATGGCCTCCACATTAATTCAAGGGACTTGGGCAGTAGAGAGAAATTGTTGTGGTTCTCAGCCAGGCTAGGCCAATCTCTCAAATAATGCAAGCGGCCTCGGCATCCTGGGCACAGGCTCTCTGCTCCAGCCCCAGTCAGCATATGCCCCCCATCACTGGGTGAGCCCAGCACAAAGGGCTCTCCAGAGACCACAATTTGGTCTACAGACAGCGCACAGGACCAGGAAGTCCTTGGCCACACTGAGCCAAAGGCTGCCTCCAGTGGAGTCCCATCGTGAGGACCTGAGAGCAGGCTGGGAACACGGTGGTCCCCGTCTTCCTGTCTCAGTAGTGCTCATCACAGCTGCCCATTTCCTTGCCTGGGCCGATGTCCAGCTCCAACTCCCATCTCATCCTTTCCTGGTGACCGGGGTGACCGGGGCAGGGGCGGGGGTGCTACTGTTTGTCTTTTCGAGGCAGGTGGGGACTAAGGTTGCCAGCTGATTTGTACTGAATGTCCTGTTCAAATGAGCCACTCTGTGAATTCATTCACAACACTCATCCTGCCCTCTCAGCGTCCCCTTAAATGTCATCAGCTGGGCCTCACATCTATCAGCCATAAATCTGAAGTCCCAACAGGAAGCTCTCTCTCTCTCTCACACACACACCCAAATGCCTCTCCAACTGCTGAACATTGGGGGTCAGTGCCATTTCCCTCCTTAGCTCAGGCCATCTCAGAGTCTGGGTTTTTCTTGCCCTCCTGGGCCAGCCCCTCAGCTAAGTGCCACAGGAAGCCCCTCGGCTAAGCGCCACAGGCAGTCCCTCAGCTAAGCGCCACAGGGAGTGGCTACTTGATAAGGACAAGGGTGCAGAGGGCCAGGTTTGAGGACCACCCAGGGTGCCTCTCTGTTCCCTCCCCTCCTGAGAGAGCTTCTCTGTGTCCATGGTAGTGACAGCGAAACTTCCCTACCATTTCCTTTTGAGATACCAGATCCTTTGGTTGGTTCGTAGAGAATGTCCTACCTGGGTTTTCTGTGAATATCAATATGACCTCTGAATTCTGGAAAGGCAAAAGACTAAGTGGACCCATGCCCGGCACCTGTACATGAGGTATGAGTACAGACAGCCCACCTGAGTGACAACCACCCCTATTGGGCTTGCCTACTCCTATTCAGAAACTCCCCAGAAGTGGTCCTGAGGGTCTGAGATCCCTTCAGGGGCCCCTAGTGAACCTACTCACTGTTGACAGTGAGGTGTCACCCTAGGAAAGACTGGGGACCTGTGGACACCACGTCCCAGGCAGTGGGGCTGAGGTGCGGCGCCTCCTCCAGTCACCCCTGCCTGGAACGTCCAGGTCATGCTGAACCTTTGCCTTTCTCTCAAGGAGACGAAAGTCTCTGGAGGCTGGTGTTCCGTCATTATGCATGGGGTCCAAGCAGAACTGCCAAGGGAGCAGCAATTCTTAAATCAAAAACCAACCCAGTGCCATCAGGTCTGACTCATGGGGACCTGCACAGGGATCTGCTACTTAGGATTTCCAAGGCTGTTAGCCTTACCAAAGGAAATGGGCATAACCTGCTTTTATGAAGTGGCTCGTGGAACCCCAACGTTTCAGTGGGCAATATCAGTATTAACTCTATGAGCAACCAGGGCTTCACGGGAGGGGTTCCTGACAGATTTACATTAGCATATATTTTCTCCCACAACATGGGAAAACCATGTCCGTTCATGCCTCCGAAGGGACAGGCCTTAAGAAATGATTCCTGCCTTGTGGAGGGGAGAGGGAACAGAGGGAACTGAGCACATTCCTTTAGGGGTTCAACCATCTCCCTGGGAATGGAGGAGACTTGATTTCAAGTCTGCTGCCGCCACAGGCTCCCTGAGGCTCCCTAACAGCCAACATCCCTTCGGGAGGGGACCCTGAGAGGCAATGGGTCCGGATTGGGTATTCAATGCCAAGTCCTTAAAAGGGCTTCATCCAGAAACAGATGTGAGAGAGGGGCGGTGTTGGCAGCCATCTGTGTAAAGTAGGGACTGATCAGGTCAGGTTTTCTCCCCAGCAGCAGCGGATTCCAGGTACCGGGGCCACACACCACATCATTGTCACCATAGTTACAGTAATCCCGGGAGGCTGCCCTGGGGAGGGAGGCTGCCTGGCTGCCAGATACAGATCCTTTGAGGAGTCTGCATGTGACCTGCCCAGCAGAGGGGGAAAGAGAAAAGCCAAGGCCCAACCAGACTTCTAAGAAATGCCAGGCCTCCAAAAGACAGGTAGCCTCCATGGAGTCGGATAGTGAATCCAGCTGCCCCAGCACCAGAATCCCACACCGGGAAACCACTGGCAGGAGGCCAATTTCCACCAAAGCTCCCTGGGTGAGCCTTTCTAATAAGATTTACAGGACTGCTGCTTGGCTCCATGGCCACTGCCACAGGAAGCCAGTGTGAGGCATTCTGCCCCAGACTTCCCTGACCAACAAGGCCACCAGGAGGAAGCCAGTAGCCCCCTACCCCCTTGTCCCGGGAGCCCCCGAGGAGGTCTCAGTGGCCCAGGGAGAAAGGTGACCTGGAGCAGGGCGAGCCGACAGAGTGGAGCAGCCCCTCCCTGGCACTCAGTTGCTCCTTTTGTCCAGCGTTTTCCGGCCCTGTAGGAGGAACAATAAAAATAGAATTATATTTTTAATAAAATAAAATTTTTTTATAACAGTGTTTGTTCATTTGAAATCTAGCCTAAGGTCAGGCCCCAAACCTCTCTGTTCCTTGAAGTGCATCTCCTCATGGGGTTTGGTCCTGTAAAACCTTCTTTCTCCAAGAAAGGCTTCTGGGTGCAGCTTCAAAGCCTACAGCTCCCTCACTGATGCACAGGACAGGAGAGCAAAGTGTGTGTGTAAAAAGATAAGGGCAGAACTGAGAAGATACTGTGACATTTTCCTATCCCTCCATCCATCAATTCATGTAACAAAGGCTTCTGGAATTCCTCTTACATCCCAGGGTCAGCTCCAGGTGAGCGGGTTGGGTTTGGTTGTTGGCTACATCAATGGGCTCAAACATAAGAATAACTGTGAGAATGGCAAAAGACCAGGCAGTGTTTCTTTCTGTTGCACTGACTCGACGACACCTAATGACAACAATAAATGGTAGTCAAAGCACGAGTATCAATATTGATTTATGAAAATATATATCAAAGTAAAAAGCCATCATGAGAGACAACTAAGGCCATTAGATAATGATGAAAGCCACAGTTGACAATAAGGTAGAACCATAATAAACAGTGATGCATTCAGTGAAAGAGCCTCAACATAAAACTCACAGAATCAAAAAGACAAATAGTCATAGATCAAACTCAGAGTCCAAAAGACAAAATAATAAGAAAATACTAGATTTCAATATATCGCTTTCGAGCAAAGACAGATAAACTAAAAGGAAAATCAACAAAGTATACAGAAATACTAAACAACACAATCAACTCGATCTTTTAGATATATACAAAACATTGCACCCAACCAGCAGCAATTATATATAATTTTTCCAGTGCACATGTAACATACTTCAGAATAAATCATATGCTAACCCATAAGGCAAGCACCAGTAATTTTAAAAAATTAAATTACTAAAAATAATCTTTCAAATCATGATGCTATACCATTAGAAATCAATCATATGATAACCAAAAAAATCAACTACATAGACACTGAATAACACTTTGTTAAAAAGTGTTGGAAAGGCAGATGATAAAAATTTAACATTCATTCTTGATTTAAAAAAACCACAATAAAAAACCCACAATAAGCATATGACAAAATAATAATAATTTATGAACTATGAAGGGTTCATGAGAGAGGGGTGGGAGGGGGAAAAATGAGGAGCCGATTTTAAGGGCTCAAGTAGAAGGCAAATGTTTTGAGAATGATGAGGGCAACAAATGTACATATGTGCTTGACACAATGGATGTATCTATGGATTGTGGTAAGATTGTACGAGCCCCCAATAAAATGATTTTAAAAAATAAAATAATTAAAAAACAATAAATTAAGAATAGAAGAGAAATTACTCAATATAATAAATTGATATATATAAAACCAATGGTCAGATACCATCTCACATCGATGCTCTTAGCAAAATTTTAAATGACAAAAAATAGCAAATACTAAGTTGGATGTGGAGAAATTGGAATGCTCATACATTGCAGGTAGGGTTTCAAAATGGTACGGATACTATGGAAAATACGGCGCTTCCTAAAAAAAAGGCAAATAGAAATATTATGTGACCATACAACCTCTGTACTTGGTATATACCTCAAAGAAATCAAGAACAAAACACAAAGATATATGCACACCTACGTTTATCAATGCAATTTCTGTAATAGCAAAAAGATGGAAAGAAAAATCCTATTTGTGGAAGAATGAATAAACAAACTCTGGTACATACACACAATGGACTTTTATGTATCCCTAAGAAACAATGAGACTGTCAAAATGCCTCATGACATGGACCAAATTAGGAGACATTATGCCCCGCCAAGTCATTCAACTTCAGAAATATTTCATGACATCATTATTATAAAGGAAGAGAAATGGTTTTCACACCAAAAGAAAAGACTTGGGCTGTGAAGATGCTGAAGGTGAGGGGGTGCGGGTCTTGGGTAGGAGAAAATGGAAGGGGCAGAGAAGGAAAGAGGAAGGTTGGCGGGGCGGGGAGATAAAAAAAAAGAAAGATGCAGTAGGATTCCCTCCCAAATGAGGCAATAACCAGAAGCATCTCTGGGAGAATGTAGATGACATCTCAAAGGGATTACAGACAGAAGAGCCCTATGGAGAGAATTCACTTGAGCCTTCTAATGAAGTCCGTGGCTGGCCATGTGGGCTATTGCCACCTTTGGACTCCTGCAAATGGCGTCATTTGAACCTTCATACACAAGGAGTGAACTCCCACTGGACAATTTGGGGGACCATACCTAAAAATAGAATAACTGTGTTAAATGAAAATTCTATTGCCTAACTTTTAGAGGAACTCCTGCCCCCACCAAGCTACTTCCCACACTGGCTGAGAATTTCAAGGTCCCACCAGCAACTTGAGGTCCCACGAAAGTTGTGTTCTTAACTGGAAAGTAAGTACTCTCCAGATGCGATTCAGACATTCGATAAGCATGTAGCTCGGGGCTCCTGGAAATATGGTGATTATTGGTATGCTCCCCCCACCCCTAATTCACAATGAAGTCTTTTTCAAGAGAGAAAAAGGGGCAAATGACCAGTAGAGCTACAGTCCGGGTCATACTGAGCTATGGAGGAACTCCATCACAGCCAGGGGGCACTGACATGACCATACCTGGGGTTCGTTTAGAGAGCTGAAAAATTACCTAGTGAAGGGCTACAAGCGCCAGGTCCAACTTGTATGGGAGCCATCGCTTGAGTAAGATGCTGGGCAGGCGGCAGCAGCAGCATTGGCCAACGTTGGGGCGAGATTCGGGACAAAGATTAGCAGGTCATCTGCAGGCAATGGAGGTCCATTGAGTCAGTGGGTGACACAGCCAGGGCTATGCTTTAGTAAGGTAGTTCAGGAGGCAGGCCATAGACAGTAACAAGCGAGGAGGAGGTAGGGAGCCAAGTCAGAAAGATGGGACAAGGGTTGAGGCGTATCATGATAAAGGCTGAGACCGGTAATGACAAGAGAATGGGACACACGTGAATGGCCAGGACTGCAGCACAGCCCTGAAGCAAGTAGGAAAAGGGAGTGGCGATGAAGGAATACCAACGTCCTTCCCCATTTTTGCAAAGCCCTTCCGTCCCTAAGGAGCCCTGGTGGTGCAGTGGTTACAACGTGGGTGGTGAGCCTCAAGACAGGCTGTATGAAACCACCGGTCACTCAGTAAGGGGGTAGGGATGGGGACGCTACTGTCTACTCCGGAGAAAAGTTCCTCTCCGAAACTCACCAGGAGAGTTCAACCATGCCCGGCGAGTCAATTCGTCACGTGCTTCGTTGATAAATGTGATGCCGAGACCCAATGAGCTAGAGTTTTTTTTAAAAAAAAACAAAAACCACAGGCCTGATCGCAACCAATTCAATCAGACGGTCAACGCCTGCCTTCCTAACGCACACTTGCCCAACGCCCGCCCGACTTGGAGCGCACACCTCGACGCAACTGACTCAACGAAGAGCCACGCCCCCTAACGGTCGGCCTGCGCCTCCGCGCGCCGTGCCGGCTACCGTACGCGAGCCGGCGGCGCGCCCGTGACGTCTTCACTGTGCGTCGCCTTGCCGCCCGAGAGAAGATGGGCTTGCCGCGGTGTGTGCGACTCCTATCAGTCACCCACGGGCTGCTCTCGGCTCCCCGGCGGGACCTGGGGGTCCACGGCCCCGAGGAGGCCCTGCCGGTGGTGCGCATCCCGCGGGCTCTACAGCGGCGACAGGAGCAGCGGCAGAGCGGGCGGCGGAGTAGTCCGCAGCCGGTGCTAGCGCGGCCAGGTCCGTTACTGGTGTCCGCTCGGCGACCGGAGCTGAGCCAACCGGCGCGCCTCACGCTGGGCCGTTGGGAGCGCGCGCCGCTCGCCTCCCGCGGCTGGAAGCATCGGCGCGCGCGCGGGGATCACTTCTCCATCGAGCGCGACCAACCGCTGGCGCCCGCGCTGCGAAACCGCGCCTCCCAGGACACTTTCGCAAACCTGGGCCTCGAGCCCCGAGTGCTGGACGCCCTGCGGGAGGCTGCGCCCGAGGTGGTGAGCCCGACGACCGTGCAGCTGAGCACCATCCCGCCGCTCCTTCGCGGCCGCCACGTGCTTTGCGCGGCGGAAACCGGCAGTGGAAAGACGCTCAGCTACCTCCTTCCGCTGTTCCAACGACTCTTGGTCCAACCCAGCCTGCACCCGGGCCGCATCCCCGCGCCCCGGGGCCTGGTCCTCGTGCCTTCCCGAGAATTGGCCGAGCAGGTGCAGGCCGTGGCCCAGCCATTAGGCAGCTCCTTAGGCTTGCAGGTGCGGGAATTAGGGGGGGGGCACGGCATGAATAAGATCCAGCTGCAGCTGTCCAAACAGCCCCCGGCTGCGGTGCTAGTGGCTACTCCAGGGGCTCTGTGGAAGGCCCTGAAAGGGCGACTGGTCAGCCTGGAGCAGCTGTCCTTCTTGGTCCTGGATGAGGCAGACACCCTGCTGGACGAAAGCTTCCTAGAACTGGTGGACTACATCTTGGAGAAGAGCCACGTAGCGGAAAGCCCAGCCGACTTAAAAGATGCCTTCAACCCCAAAGCTCAGCTGGTGCTGGTGGGAGCCACTTTTCCTGAAGGGGCAGGCCAGCTGCTGAGTAAAGTGGCCAGGCCAAACGCAGTCACCACCATCACCAGCTCCAGGCTCCACTGCATCATGCCGCATGTCAGACAAACATTTATGAGACTCAAGGGAGTAGAGAAGGTGACTGAATTGGTGCAGATTCTCAAGCAACATGACAAAGCCACTAGGGCCGGCCCTTCCGGAGCTGTCCTGGTGTTCTGTAATAGCTCCACCACTGTGAACTGGCTGGGATATATTCTGGATGACCACAAGATCCCACACTTACGGCTGCAGGGACAAATGCCAGCCGCCATGAGGGCAGGCATCTTCCAGGGCTTCCAGAAGGGCTCCCAAGACATACTCCTCTGCACAGACATAGCCTCTCGCGGCCTGGATAGCACCCGTGTGGAGCTGGTTGTCAATTATGATTTCCCCTTCACCCTGCAAGACTACATCCACAGGGCAGGGAGGGTGGGCCGTGTGGGGAGCAGGGTGCCAGGCACTGTCATCAGCTTTGTAACGCATCCTTGGGATGTGAGTCTGGTCCAGAAAATTGAGCTGGCTGCTCGCCGGAGGAGAAGCCTTCCAGGCCTAGAATCTTCTGTAAGAGAGCCTTCACCTCAGCAAGCCTGATGGAGTCTGACTTAAGTGTAGAGCCAGAACATGGGGCTTTCTCTGTGTCCTCAGGAAAATAACAATTTTGGTTGGGGGGAAATTTAATGAATTTTGGAAAGAACTAGACCCCACACAATGGCTCTTTTTGTTAATGTTTTGTTTTGTAACCATTTAGGTCTCACCTTTTTTTTTAAGTTTCTAAGATGTGCTCATTAAAATTTTTACCTGAGGCATATATATACAGACATTTGTCCGTGGTTATCAAAAGCCCTGGTGACAGAGTGGGCTATCTATTGGCTGCTAGTCACCAAGTCATCAATTCAAAACTACCAGCAGCTCTGTGAGAGAAAGCGGAGGCTTTCCTACTCTCCTATAGAGTCACTATGAGTCAGAACTGACCTGATGGCAGTAAGTTTGTTTTATTCATTTTTATGAGGGCGAGGGGGTCACATCCTTTTCGTAGGAGACTGTGTGTTGTCTTTAAAGAGATGAAATTTGGAAATCGCTCTGATGGTGAAAATTTGGGGAATGGAACTAATGTCACTAATGTGGACTTTTTCTTTTTTTGGAAGTGGACATTTCAAAATGATGAGCATGGCAAGTATTTTACGTCAATTCTATCTTAAACTTAAAAATGAAAAAACGATGCCCAGGGGGAGGAAGAGGTGTGACTAGCTGTGGGGAGAGTTTTCTGCACTAACATTGTCCAAGGTGAGCTTGGCCGCTCTTGGCGGGATCTCACTGGACAAAATGAAAACGAAAGGCAGCCACTGCAGCAGTGTGGCTCACCGTGTGTCCCAGGCTCTGCCTTCTGTCCCATCTCTGAGGAACGAGGAGGAGGATTAAATTGCTTTGTAAAACCCACTGCCATCAAGGGGATTCTCATAGCGACCCTCTAGGGCACTGGTTCTCAACCTGTGGGTCTCGACTCCTTTGGGGGTTGAATGACCTTTTCACAGGAGTCACCCGATTCATAACAGAAAAATTACAGTTATGAAGTACCAACGAAAATAAATTTATGGTTGGGGGTCAGCACAACATGAACTATATTAAAGGGTCACAGCATTAGGAAGCTTGAGAACTACTGCTCTTGAGTCTCGGTGCTGGTAAGTCTACGGGAGCACAGAGCCTCATGTACAAGCAGCTGGCGTAGTGCTCCAACACATACCTGTAAACCATTCCCTAGAACGGGTCAGATAAGCACAGCAGCCCCTCACTCACCCCAGATTCCAGTCTCTGCAGCATTCCATGGACTGCAGCAGGATCACATCACCCCAGAGAACTTCGTGCAAATACTTGCAGCCTGTAAAAAAGGGTAAGTAAGGCTGTCCAGAGGAGAAATGGGCCTGGCTTTGGGGGCAACCAGTTTGCCCAGCTGTCACCTCTTACTAACGTGTGAGCTCAGCCCTCTTCCCAGATGAAGACTTAGGCTCACTGAGGTAAAGGAACTTGCTCAAGATCACAGAAATATATGGGCAAAACTAGCATGTCTGCACCTTCTGTTGAGGTGAAATACACATCAAAAAAGTAACCATTTTAAAGTGAACAATTTAATGACTGTACAGTCAGTGCTGGCAACTACCTCCATCTAGTTGCAAAATATTCTCATGGCCGCCTGCCCCCAGAAACCGTCCTCTAGTAAGCAGGTGCTCCTCTTCTTTGATTCCCGGCAGTCACCCACCTGTATTCGATATATGCATCAACCTTAAAATAAATGGATCCTACAATATGAATCTGGAGCTTATTGCGTTCAGCATGATGTTTTTGAGGTTCCCACATGGTAGCATATATCAGAACTTCATTTATTTTGGGGGTGGCTAGTATTCCATTTTAATTACCAGTGTATGTCATAGTGTGTGCCTTTGAGTCAAACACTGACGAGGCCACATCTGATCTCTGGCTTCTGGAGTGGGGAGGGTCATTGTCCACAGCAGCCCCAGGCCATCTGCCACAAGCAGAGTACCCTACCGCCAGCCTCAGTCCCCCTTTCCCATGTTCTGACACCAACCATTCCTCTCTGATGCACTACCTTTCTGCCGGGTACTGTAAGTCATTGCAATGGCCACACGGATCTCACAGACAATACTCCGATTAAAGGGGTTTATTAAGAAAATTAACCGGTTACTATAAGCCAGGATCAGTAAACAGGAAGGATACAGTAATTGCTCCAAAGCAACCCCTCTCCTCACCCGGTAACCCAGGCAGCTGCCACCACCACCTGGGGCGGGATGGCCAATGGGCATCTCTGATGACCCTCTTAGGCTGGTGGTTTGTCCTCCGTGGCCCTGACAGCTCACTCCCTCGCTTCAGAGCTGGCTGTCCTGCACACAGAATGGCTTTGGAAGAGCTGTGTGTGAGTCTGGGTTGACTAGAGAAACAAATCCAGAGACATTCATATATGTGTAAGAGACAGCTTGATATCCAAGAGTAAGTGTATATTAAGGAAACATCCCGGCCCAGTCCAGATCAAGTCCTTATGTTCAACATTAGCCTATAAGTCTGATAGTAGCTCATATGTCCGATACTAGTCCATAGATTCTTCTACAGACTCGCGCAGCACATGCAATGATGCTGAAAGCAGAAAGATCACCGGCCAGTGGGTGAAAAGTCTTGTGGAGCATCTCAGTACTGGGGTGGCTCTCCCAGTGGCTCCGCCAGCTCCAGGGCTCTGGCTGCTATCAGCGTGGTTCCGTATGGCTTGTCAACAGAATGAAGCAGAGAGAGTGTCCCGCCTCCAGGGAGGAAGACAAGAGTTCCCAGAATTCTCCACAGAAGGTCATGCCCACACAGAGACATATTGGCTATGACCTGATTGACAGGCTATACCCCACCCCTTCACTCAAGTTGACAGGAGATTATTAACTGCCACAAGCTGGCCTGTGTGTCATTTACAACCAAAGAAACAGGGTGGTCACTTAATTCATCCCTCTAGTCAATTTGAGACTCAGAATACACCCCACCTTCCTCCTGCTCATTAGCATAACAGAACTCCCTCCAAAATGGGATTGTAACCATGGAAACAGGCTGCCATTTATAATACATCAAAGAGGGATTGTGGATAAAAAAGCCATACTAAGAACTTCCACTGCACCGTAGCCTCCACTCCTCCACAGACAGACCCTGGGTTCTTACCACGCGTTGACTCTTGAATAGCGCTACCTGAACATTCACAAACAAGGACCCCAGAAGTGGAATTGCTATGTCCTGCAATTCTATTTAGCCTCATCCGCAAGCTGTTTTCCTCAGCAGTTAACTAATTTAATTTTCCAGTCCCACCAGCCACATGAGGTTCCAAATAGTTGTTCTTCTATTTATTTATTATTTTACTGCATCTTACACCAGCCAATATATCCATTCACATACAATTCTATTGTTTATCCCCCCCCCAAGTGGGGTTATATAGTCATCAATGCTATCAGCTCCCCCTCTCCCCACCTCACTTCCTGTACCCTCAGGGAACCATTACTCCTGTTACTGGTTTTGAAAGGTTATCTATCTTGGCTTTCATTTTCCGAGTGATCTTAAATATACAAATGGACATATCCAAATGTAGCATGATTAGTGAGGTGAAATGAATAAAAACAATAATAAGGGGAGTAGATATTAAATAATTAGAGTATATTAAATAATCAGAGTATAGTTAGATGTTTCGTAAGTGCTCTACCGTACCCTGGATTTATCATTCCTTCCGTGTGGCCCTTCTGAGAGGCACTGTCCAAGTATGTTGTAGGTGGGTTTGGGTCTCCACTATATCCCCGCCCTTTCATGTCAATTTGGTTGCTTGTTTTTGAACTTCTGATATCTTTTCTCATTGACACTTCATGTTCATACAGGCTGGTATGCTTCTTCCATGTGGGCTTTGTTGCTTCCCTGCTAGGTGGCCAGTTGTTTAAGACCCCAGATGCTATATCTTTTAGTAGCCAAGCACCATCACCTTTCTTCACCACATTTGCTTATGCACCCATTTTGTCTTCAGCTATCATGTCAGAAAGGTGAATATCATACAGTGCCAGATTATTAAAACAAACCATTCTTGTACTGAGGTAAGATTTGAGTAGAGGCCCAAAGTCCATCTGCCTCCTTGTATTTACAAATAAAAATATATATATATATACATGTTCAAATATACCTTATATATGGTCAAATACACCTATCTATATATTTACATATATACCTATCTATATATAAACTATATATCTCTGTATATAGTTTACTTTCTTCTTCCTTCCTGTATTTTTTCTTTCCTCCGCCACCATCATGATTACCTGTCGTTCACCTCTCAGTAATTCCTCTCAGGTACGTTTCAATTAGTCAAACATGACCGGGAACGATACGCCCTCCTCACCATCAATTTTAGGTCCCTTGTTATCCCTAGTCTCTGTCATTCTTGGCTCACCTCTCCCCTCCCCCCACCTCCTCCTCTCCCATGTATTTCCCGCCCCCCCCAGTCCCCCCAACCGTCAATCCTGTCCTTGTCTCCCTGGACTTGCTTATCCTCCCGATCTTAGACAGATAGTCACCCAGAAGAAAAGAGCAAGACTGAAAGAAAGGGAACAACCACACGAATAGTTCGTGTCTAATGTGATCCGGTCCCAGATGAGCATCTCTCTGTTCACAGAGAGATGGACTCGTTGTGATCCATCAGTCAATAGTTGTGTTCTCAACCGAAATGCCATCTCGCGTGATTCAGGCACTGGGCTCTACCAAGCGTCCAATTCTGTCAACTGCCTGTCACGCTTTTTATCTCCCACTCTTTTAAAACACCCTGATTTAGATCAATAATCTGGTCATTCTATGGAACTGCCCACGTTCTGAATCCATTTAGAACGTACAATCCTGCACCTGACTCCAGATCACAGGAAGTGCTGAGCCCAGGGGGTAGAATGGTGACTCCTTGGGTTGCTGACTGCAAGGTTCGTCGTTTGAAACCACCAGCCTCCCCGGGAGAAAGGCAGGACTTTCCACTGCCATACACAACTACAGCCTCAGAAATCCACAGGGGCAGCTCTACCCAATCCTGTAGGGTCCCTGTGAGTCAGCATGGAACCCACGGCTGTGAGTTTGCTTGCTGTTTGCCTCTGAGCACCTTTCCTGGAACCCCTATTCCTGTACTCTTCCAGGTGGTCCTCAGGCCCTTTCAAGTTGATAATCTATTTGCCCATTGTGTGCTGCCTTCTCTGATGGCCCACCCGGTCCTGCTGAGACATCTGTATCCCACCAGAAACTCTGGAGCCAGC